CAAAAAAAAAAAAAAAAAAAAAAATTAACCAGTTTACATGATCGTAAACTTTCTTAATATCGAGCTTACATAACATCCTTGGTACCAGGCGCAATCTAGAATCAATGCATTCCTTGCTATAAGCACATAATCCAAGATTTGCTTCTCTTTCGCAAAAGCATTTTGTAACTTAGACGCTACTTTCCCCAGCACCTCCTTCCCACCAGGGAAATAAAAGAAAACAAAGTTAAATTTTAGATATGTAATTTATGAGTGTAATGATTACTGTAATTATATTTTTTATGCTATGTTGGCGACATTAATGAGTATTTTTGATATTGACGTGTTGATTTGTTCGCAGACTCATGACTCAGTGCACTGTGCACATGACTGCTGTCATATTTTTGCTAATGCTAATTTGATATATTACTCATGCTAAATACATGTTTGGGAGTATTTGTTTCTGAAGAGATGTATGTCAGCTTAAATGTTTTTCAGAATATATATGGCTGTAAAACTTGTTTTTATCACCTTAGAATTTAGACTGGTTAAAATGACAAGGTTCTGGTAACCAGATCTGCTAATTGCTGGCTGAGATTGTACTCTAATTTTTGAATACTTTATAAATATATTTTGGTAGGTATATTATATTTGAGGTAGCTAGAGAAAAGAAATAAAAGAATATCTAGTCAATGCTGAGCATCTTATCTTTTTCTTTTCTTTTTTTTCTTTTCCTTTTTAGTGCTATTTTCTTTCTGAATAATAAAGAAACCACAAATTATATGCCATGTGACTGGCAACTTCTTTTTAATTTTTAGTAAACATTGTTGGACAGTTGGGAATGCTTTTGTACTAACCTAATGCTGTTTGCAACCTCTAAATGATGTCAATCTTCTGAAAATGTGACTTCCCTGATGAAAATTAAATCCCTTTCTGATGTATATAGTGGTCCTTCAGATTTTCTAGATACTTTTTCTGGGTATTTTTACTAACTCTTACTTAATTTCGCAGGAGAGGCTTATCTGAAACTGAAATAAACTTTCTTAAGGAGGTACATGTTAAGATTTATAATATCTCATATATCAATTGTTCGTGTTTGCCATTTACTACGCTCTCTAAGTTTTCCAAATTCATCTACATGTTTTCTTGTGCTTTACATTTAACTAAATCCAAAATGTTCTAAATTTTCTGTTTACTATATTTTGTAAAATAACAACTTTTCTGCTGGTTTATTTGGTTATTCTTCCCATTCGAGTTATCTGGTCTAGTATTCTAGTCTGAAATGTATTTAGTTAACAGGACACTAGGTTTTCGTTGTATGTTGTATTGGGTTGATTCCGTTCTGATTAGATGTTCTCTCTGTAGAACAAGGGCTTGCAAACAAGAATTCTTCAGTCTGGAAGTATACCAGAAAGTGTTCTCGGTTTGTACTGTGTAGAACTTGTCTTTGGCTCATTTCCTCTTTCCTCTTGGCATGAATAGATAAATATTTTCTTTCAGTTATTTCTACGTCAACTAATGAGCTTCTGTATCTGGAATTTTTTTTAGCCCTTGATAAAATCAAAAGACCTTTGTATGAAAAGCATCCAATGGCCAAGTTTTCCTGGACTGTGACAGAAGAGGCAGACACGGTTGGTTATCCTTCTTTAATTTTGAAGCAAAAGACAATATCTGAATCTAAGTGTGTCAAATACAGTAGGGAAATATTTTAGTATCCTATAATTATTTTTATGCTTATTTATTTTCTCATGAATTTGTAAAGTCCTTCATTTAGTCAAAAAGTGACATTAACTTCTTTGATTGTACTAGTCTCGGAATGAGCTTATTTGATTGAAAGGCCCATTGCTAATGCCATGCAGGAACACTTTCTTATATGCAAGCGATTTATAAAATGCAAATCTTCACCAACATGGTTTATTGCTCTGTATTTTGAAAACGTTAGCACTGATTTTTGCCGGTCATTCTTTCAATGACTAATTTTACTTCCATTCTTGTGAAGGTTTGTGAAAAAAATTTACATAGTATTTATGAGAAAGATACTAAGGGTGTGTTTGAGCCCATTTTCGGAGGAATAGGTTTTATAATAGTAATC